GAAAAGTTCACTCAATGAATGAGTCAAATACAGAGCAAAGTCACGAGCTAAGCCTAAAGAAACTTACCATAGCTAGGGTAAAGGCAATGTACTGAAACGGGTTATAAATAAAAACCTCGTGTTTATTTTTCTTTTTTAAATCTGTTATAAGAAAAACAGTTACGAGAAAGTTATAGATGAAATTCAAATACATGTAAAGTGTTATTAAAAACTAGAGAAAGTTCAAATAAAAATTTGTCAAAGTTATTTCAAGAAACATGTGTATTCCTATTTCTTTTATCATATATTAACACCGTTATGAAGTTGAGACGTCTTCTTCATTAAGTGTCGAATATAAAAGGGCCCTCTTTTATAAAATTCATGATTAATTTAAGTATTCATGAAGTTAACAGAAGCATTTTTAAGAGTAAAAATGCAAGTTATTCAGTAAGTCCTTAGAAATAAAGGCAAGAATAAACAAAACAAAAGTTCAAATAGTAACAAAAAACTTCTTATTATTAAAAAGCTTAGACTAAGTATGAACTTAATCATAAACTGAAAATTATTTATACATATTGCCCCATAAAAGGTCTGGAGACTTAAGTTTCCAAAACAAACCCTCAAATGAGACCAAGGGTTTTAACCACAATTTTCCAAAAAGAAAAAAAGAGACACAAAGGAATTTAAACAACTTAAACTTGTCACTGAGAAGATGAAGGAACTGAAGCAGGTACATCAACAGCAGCGGGTTCAACTTGGCTTGAAGGAGTAGGGATACCCGTATCATCTTCAACATTTACGGAAGCTTCGATCATGGGAGAAGGAAAATCTTGGTTCTGCTGAGTCTTCTCAATAGTTTCATTGATCTTCACTAACTCAGATTCAAAGTTAAAATTCTCTTGGCTAGCTTCAACAACGGTATCACGGCGAGAATTCAAAAACGCCCAACTCACTTCAATGGCAGACTTATCTTTAAGGATCTCATAATCTCTTTCCTAGTCAGTGATTTCGTTCTTTAGCTTTTAATTTTCAGCCAAGGCAGATTCATAAGAAGCTTGAAGAGAGGTATGGGAATTTTCTAAGGAACAAACCCTATCAGAAGAAACCCGGAGGTCTTCTTGGGCTTGAGTCAAATTCTGCATGAGTTCACCAGCATAGGCTTCTTTTGCATCCAAGAGAGCCTTCAACTCTCTAATATCTTCACTTGCCTTGGAAAGCTGCTCGGAAAAAGAAGTTTCAAGATGAGACTTTTCCTTGTCTACTTGACTGGAGAAATCTTTTTCAACTGCCAACTCCGAAGTCAAAGCCCGCACCTGCAGCTCCAAGGTACTTTTACTTTCTTCTAAGTACTCCACGTCGATCTGAAGACTTTCATACTGTTCCTTCCAATTATATGCCTCCAATTGGTAATCACGCACTAACTACTCTAAGAGGGTAACTCTTTTCATCATCTCCGTGCCGATGAGATTGGTCTAAAAAGGGGGAAAGAGAAGGAAATGAGAATCCTAAAGATAGAAAAATGAAAAAGTAAAAGTTAGAAAAAAGGAATACCTTTAAAGAAGCATGCACAATGTCATTCATCAAAGTCAAAGAATTATGTCTCTCTAGCTTGGCTCTCTCAACAGGACCAATTAAGGGCTTTAGCCACACATCTGCTTGACCCGATTTCCTTAAAAAGTTGCCCTCAGCGGGGACTTCAATAATCACTTGCCTCATAGCACCACTCCTACTTAAGGAGCCAACCTCAGCACGGTGAGAAGGTGGAGGAGGAATTGTCTAAGAAGGAATAGTAAAAGTAGTAAAAACAGCCTGGGGAGGAATTGAAGCAGCCATAATCGACAAAGTAGGAGTCACAATCACGGGAGGAGAAAAAAAAACAAGGGAGCTTCATCAGAAACGGGACCTAAACTTTCAATACCAAACCCGCGGTCAAAAAGCTGCTCAACAGAATCATGAGCAGCAGCGGGAGCATCATCAACATCATCAGGGATCACTACCAGGGCTTCAACAGATTCGGTAAGAGGAATAGAACGGCGGGGGGATGTTTCTGCTTCGTCATCAAAAATAATACATCTACGAGCCCGTGGCCTTGTTACCAAGGAACCCCCGTCTTCCTCTTCTTCGGAATCTTGGTCATCAACGGCTTTTTTTTTCGATGAAGAGCCTAGAATTATTTCTTTAGCCCTTTCCAAAGAGATACGAGAAGCCGCAACTACCTCAGCATTAACTCTTCGAATAGCAAATCCTGATAGAAAGAAGGATTGAGATAAGTTCAGGAAAAAATAATATGTAAAATAAAATAAAAGCTCTTACCATGAGTTTTTACTTTCCAACCAAAACGTTGGGAAAGGGTCTTCCAAGATCTACCATCCATTGGTGCAATACTCAACAACTTTCCTACCCAATTATGGAAATTGGGAACATCTTCCACAACTCCCATGGTTGCTAGAAAAGAAAAGTAAAATTAGAAAAATCAACAAAATTGAAGAAAAAGGTACGAGAAAGTTAGAAGACTCACGTGCAAAATTTTACTTCTCAGGGAAGGGAACGTTCTCATCACTTACTAAACAAACAGTGTGGGCAGCAACAAATCTGGCATACCAGCCACGGTCTTTGTCATCTTCAGGGCTAACTAGAACTCTTTTGCTCCTGGCAACTAGTGTAAAAACACCATTGCGAAAGAGTCTAGGGGGGTAAAAATGAATTAGATGTGGGAAAGTAAAACGCACACTGGATATGTTGGTCAAATGCCTCAAACAGGCAATAACCCTCCATATTATTGGGCCAATTTGACCTAAGCAAATATCAAAGAAACGACAGAACTCGAGAATAACAAGATCAATAGTAGGTTTGAATCCTAATGTGAAAGGGTACGTATAGACAAAGGAAAAACCGGTTAAGTAAGAGGTAATTCTTTGATTTGGATTGGTAATAATAATAATAGGAAAGTCACGACTCCAATGGCAGTCTCTGCGAAATAAAGAAATCAAACTTTCAGTGATTTGAGTGAGATAGATATCAGTACGATCTAAAGAAGATACTTGATTTCGAAGAGATTCTCTGTCATTATAGAAAGATAGTTGCGCAGGAACTATCTCCTCTACTAGAGGTTCAGAAGATTCCTTACCTCGAGAAGAAGATCTGTGTGAAAGAGAACCCCTAGTTCTAGAAGAAGGATCGGAACTAGGCGAAGGAAGAGAAGAATCACACAAGGATGAAAATCCTAAATTACGAAGCCTACCTCCTCTTCTGCTACTACTGGGGGCATTAGGGAAGTTATCAACTATGGGGACCCTTCTAAGGTTAGGGTTTGATGAAGACATGATAGTACGAGGAAGAAGCAAACAAAGATTCAAGAACTGAATATTTTGAGAACTTTATGTGATAAAGACAAAGAAGAAAACTATATTTATACTGCGAAGCAACTGTCAAAGGAAAAGGTGCAATGATGGAAAAGTCATAATGAGAACTAACGCTTCGTAGTTAGTGAAGCCGTGAAAAAGCCCTAAAAAGCACTGCAAAGTTGCAAAACCAGTAAAAGGGGTGCCACGCGTGAAGAGCATTAAATGGAAGTGACAAATGGAGCGTTGATTCTGCTATAGCATTAATGGTGACAAAAATTTCCGTTTTAATGAATTCCACTTCCCAAATATTCAATTGATGAATAAATGGCAAGTGGGGGACTATCTGTATTGGGAAAAATTGAGTTTACATATTAAAGTGATTGGAAGATGACGTGTCATGACACGTAGACTGGTCAAAGAGTTATGATTGGCAAAGAGGCACGAATTGCAACAGATACGAGCAGAAGCATAAGAGGAGGCACGAGCGGATACTCAAAAGATTCAACGCCCATACCTATTTAAGTCTAAGAATCAAGGAGAATGAATCTAACAGCACAAGAGAGTACAGATACAATATTTAATGAGCATTAAATACTAAAAACATTAGAGAATCTGTATTAAAATACAATGATTATGTAACGTAGCATTTAATGTCTTTAATTGTCTATAATGGCCTTATTATGACAAAGGTAAAACGCGTATTTCCAAGATAGCTATAAAAAGGAAAGAATGGGTCAATTGTAAGGACACGAACGATTATCTGAATACATTGGTTTACTTTATCTTCTTCTAATTATCTTATTGCTAGCAAAATTATTTTCTCTTATACATTTTTTGATTATCAGTAACCCGAGTTCTTCTAAATTAAAGCTTTGGCCGAAATTCAATTTTTTGGTTAAACAACGGTATTTGTATGGTTATAAAAGCTTTTCATTAAGGGTAAAATTGTAAGTTTAAGTTAAATTGTATCCAAATTTTAAAAAGAATTATTTTTTGGAACGGATCAAAAAGAAAATAGATTTACATCAATTGGAATGGAGGGAGTACATTTCAAAAAAGGTGTGCTCATGACAAATTTCACATTTGCCATACTTACCCTACATTTGAACAAGGTATGCAGTAGATAACAATCTTTAAAGAATCATTTTAACAACTCCAACGACTATTGTGATTATTACAAACTTTATAATTTCATGATTCACAAAACGACACACATTTAACCTTTCATACTTATTTCACGGCATATGAAGATGAGATTTTCATCTATTATTTTATGCGCAAAATAACTGAATTAAAAAAATATATATGTATATATTGATTAAAAGTTGTCTCACTATATTACTGTTTTCCATGTCCAAGATTTTCTTTTTCATGTTGTCAAAATTCTGGTATTTTGTCAATGTAATTTACATACTAGATTCTCTACTTTAATTTGTAGCAGATATCAAAGTGGACAAAGAATCAGAGAGAAAAAAGGGTATAATTTCGTATGGAAGAGACGAAGATTTATGCATGTGTTTAATAAACTCTTTATAAGGTTCTTACATTTCAAAAAAGGGGTGCTGCTAGCTAGCGACAATTGGCACGTGAGGTGCTATGCTGATTTACGTATCAACAAGTAGTCGATAATTATTTTGAAGATTCCATCTTCACAAAATGACATACATTAACCTTTTATTATCTCAAATGAAACCTCGAGATGACAACTTCATCTAGTATTTATATGCCTAGCTAGAAGTTACTTTCATTGCATTCTACATATTCACTGTCATGGGAAAAAGCATGAAGTCTGAAGTTGAGCAGCCCTTGTTGATTGCTGCTCATGGGGGTAGCTCCGAGCTCGAGGAGGTGCTCTCCGACACCCAATTACCCTACTTTCGACGCCTTAGGTATGCCTCTTGGATCGAATTCCAGCTACTTTATCGGCTTGCTGCCCCTTCAGTTGCCGTCTACATGATCAACAATGCCATGTCCATGTCTACTCGGATCTTTTCTGGCCAACTCGGGAACCTGCAGCTTGCAGCAGCCTCTCTTGGCAATCAAGGCATCCAATTATTTGCTTATGGCCTTATGGTATTATTTATTATCTCTCAGTTTCTTTCTCAAATGATCTGAATATCAATGGAGAAAGCTTTCTCAATATGATGATAGTGCTTGTTTTAGTCATTATGGTGCTATTTTTCTGCAATTTTCAACTTGATTCTTTTTAGGTATTTTGGCTTTACTATATTATCGATTGCAGCTAGGAATGGGCAGTGCAGTGGAGACGCTTTGTGGCCAAGCATATGGAGCTCACAGATATGAAATGCTAGGAGTGTACCTGCAAAGAGCAACAGTAGTGCTTTCCGTAACAGGGATTCCACTAACTGTGGTGTATTTATTTTCCAAGAATATACTGCTCGCTCTTGGTGAATCAAAACTAGTGGCATCAGCAGCAGCGGTATTTGTGTATGGTTTGATTCCACAAATATTTGCTTATGCGGTGAACTTCCCAATACAGAAGTTCTTGCAAGCCCAGAGTATTGTTGCTCCCAGTGCTTTTATTTCCCTGGGGACTCTATTTGTACACATATTGCTCAGTTGGGTTGTTGTATACAAAATTGGACTGGGATTGCTAGGGGCGTCGTTGGTGCTGAGTTTTTCTTGGTGGATAATTGTGGTGGCTCAATTTATATATATAATAAAAAGTGAAAGGTGTAAGGCTACTTGGGCAGGTTTTCGATGGGAGGCCTTTAGTGGATTATGCCAATTTGTCAAGTTGTCTGCTGGTTCGGCTGTTATGCTGTGCTTGGAGACTTGGTATATGCAGATTCTAGTGTTGCTCTCAGGATTACTCAAGAATCCTGAGATTGCCTTGGCTTCAATCTCTGTTTGGTGAGAATTTTGTACCTAATTTACTTTATTTTTACAGTGGCAATTAAAACTACATAGTTATTGATGATCCCATAAGACTATTAGTATCATAGTGGCAACATCAATTAAGAATTTCTACTCTAAAAGATTAAGTTGTTGATCGATTGTAACTTGATCTTCTTGGCCAACTTAGAACAAACTATGGCAAATGGTTTCACTTTTTCAACAGCCAGTGCTGCTATACCTGTAGTCCTCAAATCAAAATATATATTTATACATATAAATTTGAACAATTCATTTATACTGATCAGTCTTCATTCTTTATAACTAAGGAGAAATGATTGCGATGGTACTACTCTACACATCCATTGAACAATCCGCATATGTTATCTTGCAACGTTTAAGTGACTTGCTAATGTGCTAAAGGATATATTTTTTAATTTTTGTAGCTTGGCAGTGAATGGACTGATGTTCATGGTTGCAGTGGGGTTCAATGCTGCTGCTAGGTCAGTTTTTGACTATTTTTCTTCTCTTGATGGTCCATTAACCATCTTTTCGTGTAATATTCGATGTCCAGATAAAAATCAGGTGGTGTTATAGCAATAACTTAAATTATTTATATTGATAGCTTAAAAGATTTTTCTACTATCAGTTTAGTTTCACTTGCTAAAACAGGTTACTTGCCACAAATTGGAAGTTACCAAAATAATTGTAGTTGGAGTATAAAATATTACTCCCTTTGATCCAATTTGTGTGAACTTGTTTGATTGGGCACGGAATTTAAAAAAAAATGAAGACTTTTAGAATTTGTGGTCCTAAACAATTCAAAAAGGGGTCCACAGTATTTGTGTGGTCATAAATGCTTCTCATTAAGCGTAGAATTGGAAGTTTAAACTAAATTGTTTCCAAATTTAGAAAGGGGTCATTCTTTTTTTGAACAGATCAAAAAGGTAATAGATTCACATAAACTGGAACACAGGGAGTTACTCTCTCCGTTTAAAGTTAGATGATGTAGTTTGATTCGGCACGGAGTTTAAGGAAAAAAATAAAGATTTTTGAAACTTATAGTCTTAAAATCTTAAGGATAAAAGCTTTGTGGGGCCATGATATTTGAGTGGTTAAAAAAGCTTTTCATTAAGGATAAAATAAAAGTTTAAAATTTAATTATTTCTAATTGTAGAAATGTGTCATTCTTTTTGGAATGTACTAATAAGAAAATTGTGTCATCTAAATTGAAACTGAGAAAGTCACTACATTTTTAAGTGATCACATAGTATAAAAAGTTTTTCAGTACCAGTACATAGAAGTTAGACGCTGTTTGGAATTGACTTCCTTCATAATTGTTATAAAAATTGGCCAGTGTGAGAGTGAGCAACGAGCTAGGAGCAGCACACTCAAAGTCAGCAGCATTCTCCGTGTTCATGGTGACATTCATTTCATTTCTCATTGCTGTCGTGGAAGCCATAATTGTGCTCAGTTTGCGCAATGTTATCAGCTATGCATTCACCGAGGGTGAAATTGTGGCCAAAGAAGTATCTGAGTTGTGTCCATTTTTAGCTGTCACCCTCATTCTCAATGGCATTCAACCAGTCTTATCGGGTAAGAAGTATGCCTTGTCATTAAGTTTATTAATTATACTCCGATTTAAGCACATTGATACGATAAAGAATTTATAGGCTATGAGTGTAATTTAACTTGTTGTAGTACATTAATTGTCTTGTTCTATAGGTTATTAGTCTCACTTGTTATGAGTTATTATGTACATTAACCTTTAAAATAATCGAATAGTGTAAAAAAAAATATATTAAATATGAAAGTTAATTATAGATAACTAGTTTTTCTTGATTTATACAGATATGCCATGTCAATATTAATTATATATATGTTGCTTGGGAGGGTATAGGCCCTTTTGTTGTAATTCAACTTGTTGTATGAATGTATCTCTTCGGATAGGGTTAATAAAGTTGGTAGAAAACAGTAAAAGTTAATTACATAATCCAAGTACCACATAAAATTAGAGTGATATGTCTTAAATCTTTTAATTTTTAACATTTAATAAGTTGCATGACCCAAATAGGAATTTAATATTCAAATTGCTAAAATTTATTTTCCTCATAATGTTACCTTGACGATTAAAGGCGAATTCAGAATTTAAAATCCAATAAATTAAGAATGAGCGTATACATTTTAAATTATCTTGAATATATAAATAGTTCTAGTTGAATACAATGAAAGCTTCTGCCTTGATCTTTGATCTTTACGCAACCTTCATGCATCGCCCCCCACCACAGAGAGACAAAAAATTAGGGCTATGGAAAATACATTCAAGTGAGGAAATGTCGTAGTTGGAAGGAACTTTGCTTACCCAATTTGGTCTTAAATTTTCCAATAGACTTTTTTGTTGTGTGATCTTAAGTGTTCAAGAAGCTTGTCATCACTTGATTGGATGAGAGACACAAATAGGAGAAAAAGACAACATAAGCACAATAAATAAGGCAGACAACTTCACTTGTCAAAAAAGTGATCGTGTCACGGGCCTTGTATCCAAATTTCAATACAGGTACTCATGTTCATGTATCACTGTTAATTTGCAGTTTTTTCTTTTTTTTTTAGTTTTTCAAATTTTCGAAAATTTTTAAAAAATATTTTCAAGTGAAAATTGAAAATTTTATGAACAAATTTGCTTTCGAAAAAAAGTGAATTTTTTTGGGAAAATCTTCCATCAAAATTTTGTCCAAACGGGCACTTAGAAGTACATAACTTTAGTCGTAAAATAGCAGTTATCAAGTGGGTTAAAATAAAAAATTTATACAAAATTTACGCAATTTTAATCATAATTTATATATATATATATACGGTATTATTTTTTGATGAAGCGCGTTCAGTTGAACCCGCTTGCTACCAAGTGTGTCCGCCACTGTATTACCTCACACGAGATCTGTAAAAGGCTTTCGATTTTGTTTCGGCCTATAAGTGTGCCAACGTACAATTGGTTCTAAAATTTCAGGTGTTGCTGTTGGCTGTGGATGGCAGGCGTTTGTTGCCTACGTGAATGTAGGGTGTTATTATGGTGTAGGAATTCCATTGGGATGTCTTCTCGGCTTCAAGTTTGACCTTGGTGCTAAGGTTTTTCAATACACACCATTCATAATTTTAGAAGCCTTCTATTTGTATACATACTTCAATACAAACACTATGTGTAAATTTATATACATGTAGCCTGATTTGTATGACATACTTACTGGATTTGTGACAGGGAATATGGACTGGGATGATTGGAGGGACTGTGATGCAAACTGTTATTCTGCTTTGGGTTACATTCCGTACCGACTGGAATAAAGAGGTGATTTCATCTCACTGATTAGATTCTAAAGTTAAAAATCAGTACATAGTTTTTTGAATGCACATGAAAAGATTGGTTAAGTTCGTAACTGAAATTTGAATTCTTTTTTTTTTTTTTTCAGGTGGAGTGCGCCAAAAAACGTCTGGACAAATGGGAAAACCTAAAAGGACCTCTAAACAAGGAATGAAGGTGGTGACGATAATTACGACTTAGAATAATGGGGCATGAGATTCAAAGTAATTCATGCAGTATATGCAAGGGGAAAGAAGTCATCAACAGTTTACATCAATCAAAGGTTTTGGCATATCTGCGAAATTAAAGAGAGAGTCACTTATCATTAGTTTAAATCAATTAATCATTTCAATTCTGTCAATTCCTTTGTCTGTATCTGCACATTTATTGATTGTATTACAAAGAGCTTGAAATCAACTACAGTTCTCCAATTAAGCCCACAAGGTGCTATCAAGTTTATACCATGAGCATCTAACCTTGGGAAAAAATAATGAGAACAATGGAAAGAGTAACGCGCAATGTAATAGCTGAATACAACATATATATGTTTGTAATCAGTATTCGAAAATATTATTTCTGTAAAATAAAACGAAACCAGAAACCAAAGATAAAAATAGAATGAGATGAATAACGTTTCGAGCCCAACAGAAAACTGTGTTTCCTTAAGAAATTTAATCCCCTCACTGTTGCTCAAGGTTGTTGGATTAATTCCTCTCGGGATAGTACGGAACAACTATTCTATAATACCGGCAATGAAAATTACATAACTTTATCGAACTCAACAAACGACAGTAAATTGCACTGATGCTTACGTTTTGTTTTTGGATAACAAATACAGAATTATCCAGAAATACAGAAGAGAGAGGGGAGAGTATGCCAATTTTGGTGGGTCAGAAAGTGAGACCAAACCTTTAAATTTATAGCCAGATAGTCTGGGTTGAATAGGTGCGAAAGTACCTGTTCACATGAGGTACTGTTTCGGAAGAAAAAAGTCGTTAGAAAATTATCCGCGAAATAAATTTGGTCCAAAAAATTATCAATCAATCATATCAATTGATCGAATCCGAATCCAAATCTGAATCTAAATCTGAAGCCGAAGCTGAGAAGAAGATGTGCTTCTCTATGTAAGCACAAAGATTTTCTTTATTTCTTCCGATGAGGGACGAACTGCATTAGTAAAGGAAACTATTTCAAACTTTTCGTTACACTCCTAATCTTTTCCCTCCATTTTTCATTCACACCTCTTATCTAATTAGAAAAAAAATGCAACAATCCCCCACATTAATGGCGAATGGCTATATGAAAATATGCATGCATGAAAAACTATGTGATTTACAAGCAAGGATTAATTGCATCTGGATAAGTAGGTTTCCCTTTGAACTTTCCATAGTGAACTTATGTCGGATTTACTCGGTTAATCGGTAGATTTGATATCTTTAAACCATGAAACTTTGGTGTATACCTAGATGGTCATAAGTCACACAATTAACTCTTTAACCGCCTTTAGTTCTCATTGTTGTGTTCGTTTTAGCCACGAACACCGCCTAGTTCATAAGTGTGTAGAGAACTGGCCTACAGAATTCTCCTTTCTAGAAAGTATTCGCTTAGTATCATTTATATCTGCAATGTCTTTGCTCATTATTAACATGTCATCAACATATAAACATACAATGACTATATAATTTGGGGTGTTTTTAATGTAAACATATTTATCACACTCATTATTCATAAATCCATTTGCCAACATTGTTTGGTAAAATTTTGCATGCCATTATTTGGGTACTTGTTTCAATCCATAAAGTGACTTAACAAGTCGGTAAACCTTCTTTTCTTTTCCAGGATCCATGAACTCTTCAGGTTGTTCCATATAAATTTCTTTCTCCAAGTCTCCATTTAAGAAGGTTGTCTTCACATCCATCTGATAGATTTCAAGATCATACACGGCTGCTAACGCTATTAACACCCGAATAGATGCAATCCTCGTTACCGGTGAGTATGTATCAAAATAATTAAGATCTTCTCGTTGTTTGAACCCTTTGACAATTAATCTTGCCTTATTTTTGTCAATAGTACCATAAACTTTCATTTTCCTTTTGAAAATATACTTAGAACCCAAAGGTTTATTTCTCAGAGGAAGATCAATCAATTCCCAAGTATTTTTACTTAATATAGATTCTATCTCACTATTGACGGCCTCTTTCCAATATTATGCTTCCGAGAAAGACATTGCTTCTTTAAACATTTGAGGCTCATTTTCTAACAAAAATGTTAGAAAGTCTGGTCCAAAGGAAGTATTTGTCCTTTGACGTTTATTACATCTTGGATTTTCCTCATTAAACGTACCATCTTTTCTTATTATCGAGGTCGCTTAGATTTTTCACTAGACGACTCACATTCATTTTTATACGGATAAATATTCTCAAAGAATTCAGCATTTTCAGATTCGATTACCGTATTAATGTGAATGCCGGGATTTTCTGATTTATGAATCAGAAAACGATATGCCTTACTATTTCTTGCATACCCTATAAAAACGCAATCAACCGTTTTCGGTCCAATCTTCACCCTTTTCGGTTTAGGAATTTACACTTTAGCCAAACACCCCCACACTTTAAAATATTTTAATTTGGGCTTCCTATATTTTCATTTTTCATATGAAATAGATTGTGTTTTGCTATGGGTAACTTGGTTGAGTATTTGATTGGCTGTAAGAATAGCTTTCCCCCACAAGTTTTGGGGTAAACCCGAAATTAGCAATAAGGCATTCATAATCTCCTTTAACGTTCTATTCTTTCTTTCCATAATTCCATTACATTGTGGTGAGTAAGGAGAAGTTGTTTGGTGAATAATTCCATATTCCAAACATATTTCTTCAAAAGGAGATTCATATTCACCACCCATATCACTTCTTATCATTTTGATCTTTTTGTTTAGTTGCATTTCAACTTCATTTTTGTATTTCTTGAATGCCTCAATAGCCTCATCTTTACTATCAAGTATGTAATTATAGAAATATCTAGTACTATCTTCAATAAAAGTTATGAAATACCTTTTCCCACCGCGAGATGGTATTGGCTTCATGTCGCAAATATTTGTGTGAATTAAGTCTAAAGGGTTTGACTTCTTTTCAACCGACTTATAAGGATATTTAACATACTTTGATTCCACACATATTTGGTATTTCAAATTATCGCATTCAAATTTAGGCAATACTTCCAAGTTAATCATTTTTCGTAAAGTTTTGAAGTTGACGTGACCGAAACATGCATGCCATAAATTATTTAACTCAAGTAAGTAAGAAGAAGCTTGAACTTTATTGATATCAATAGCTATTACATTCAACTTGAAAAGGCCCTCAGCTAGGTAACCTTTTCCTACATACACATCATTCTTACTTATTACAACATTTTCAGAAACAAAGACACACTTAAATCCATTCTTGATAAGAAGTCCAGCAGAGACCAAATTCTTGCGAATTTCAGGAACATGAAGAACATTGTTTAAAGTTACAACTTTGCCAGAAGTCATCTTCAAAGCTATCTTCGCAACTCTTTAAATTTTTGTTATTGTGGAGTTTCCCATAAGGACAGTCTCGCCGGGCCTTACGGGAACATAAGAGGCAAATAACTCTTTGTTAGCACAAACATGGCGAGTGGCTCCAGAATTAATCCACCACTCCTTGGGATTTCCTACCAAGCTGCATTCAGATAGCATGACATATAAGTTCTCCATTTCATCATTCTTTTCAATCAAGTTTACTCGACTCTTCTTCTTGTCCTTCGTCGGTCACAGCAGTCCACAAACTTATGTCTAACCTTTCCACATTTGTGGCAATTACCTTTGAACTTCTTCTTGCTCTGGTAATTCTTTTGACCAGATGACTTCTTTCTCTTTATGTTGCTTGTAGAGGCTTACTCAATAATATTTGCTTACATTATTGTTGAGTTACCACAAGACTTCTTCTCAGCAGCCTTGTTGCCCTCTTCAATCCGTAGACGAACAATAATGTCTTCAAGTGTCATCTCCTTGCGTTTATGTTTCAAGTAATTCTTAAAGTCCTTCCACAATGAAGGAAACTTTTCAATGAATGCTGCAACTTGAAACGCTTCATTTATGGCCATATCTTCAATCATAGATTTATAATTAGTAAAATAATCAATATCTTGAATAAAAATATTGACTCAGTATATACCTTCAGCAAGGAAGTCATGAACAATAACTTGCAATTCTCGGACTTGAGTTATGACAGATTTGTCGTCAACCATTTTGATATCCAGAAATTTGGTGGCCACAAACTTCTTAAGTCCAGCATCTTCAGTCTTGTAGTTCTTTTCAAGAGCCTTCCACAATTCTCTTGATATTTTCATGGCGCTATAAACATTGTACAAGTTCTCTTCCAATCAACTTAAAATATAGTTTTTACATACGAAGTCAGAATGATTCCATGCCTCTGTGACCATAAATCGCTCATTTTCAGGAGTTTCTTCTCCCAAAACTGGAACGCCCTTGCTGATAAAGCACTGTACACTGAGTGTGGTCAGGTAGAAGAATATTTTTTGCAGCCAAAATTTAAAGTCCACGCCGAAAAGCTTTCTGGGTTTTTATGCCGGTGCAGGAGTTGTGCGACTTGAAGATGCAGTATCCATTGTAGCAGTAGTCCTAACAGAGCCATTTTGTTGTTCCGTACTTGTTGTAATTTTTATGTAAAAGAAATTGACACAACCAGAATTAGTAAGTCGGTCAAGTTTTTATATTTTCAAACCGAATACAAACAAACGAGTAGAAAATCACAAGATTTTAATCTCAGATTGAGTAAAAAGTTAGAAAGACTTTAATCTCAAAGTCGCGTAGAAAAATCCGAAGATTTTAATCTCCAAAACGGGAGTAGAAAATCGCTAGGATTTTAGTCTCCCAAATCACAAAATAAGATGAACACAGAATATAAAAAATTTAAATTCCTTAAAGTTGTTAGTAATCTGTATTCGAAAATATAATTTCTGCAAAATAAAACCAAACCAGAAACCAAAGACAGAAATAGAATGAAATGAATAACGTTCTGAGCCCAATAGAAAACTGTGTTTCCTTAAGGAATTTAATCTCATCATTGTTGCCACAGTTGTTAGATTAATTCCTCCTAAGATAGAACGGAACAACTATTCCGTAATACCGGCAATAGAAATTACAGAATTTTATCGAACTCAAAAAATGCCAGTAAACCACACTGATGCTTATGTTTTGCTTTTGGAAAACAAATGCAGAAATGCAGAAGAGAGAGGGGAGTGTATGTCAATTTCCGTGGTCAAAAAGTGAGACCAAACCTTTGAATTTATAGCCAAATAGCGTGGGTTGAATAGGTGCACAAGTACCTGTTCATATCAATTGATCAAATCCGAACCCAGCCGAGCCTCCGAAGCCGAAGTCAAGCGAGCGAGCGA